TTTTATCATAGTAATTCTTTGTCACAGTAATTTTTTGTCATAATAATTTTTTATCATAGTAATTCTTTGTCACAGTAATTTTTTGTCATAATAATTTTTTATCATAGTAATTCTTTGTCACAGTAATTTTTTGTCATAATAATTTTTTATCATAGTAATTCTTTGTCACAGTAATTTTTTGTCATAATAATTTTTTATCATAGTAATTCTTTGTCACAGTAATTTTTTGTCATAATAATTTTTTATCATAGTAATTCTTTGTCACAGTAATTTTTTGTCATAATAATTTTTTATCATAGTAATTCTTTGTCACAGTAATTTTTTGTCATAATAATTTTTTATCATAGTAATTCTTTGTCATAGTAATTTCTTGTCATAGTAATTTTTTATTATAGTAATTTCTTGTCATAGTAATTTTTTATTATAGTAATTTCTTGTCATAGTAATTTTTTATCATAGTAATTTTTTGTCATAGTAATTTTTTATCATAGTAAAATTTTTTATATATATTAATAAACAATTTCATTAATTTTACTAATATATATATACAAAATTTTGTTTAATTTTTAATTTAAAAAAAATTATCTACATATTAATAACAAATTTTATTTTTTATTAAATTTTATTAATATATATTAATATATTTATTATGAAATTATATTTCAATTGCTGTTACATTGTTGCAAAATATTACTAAAATTTCTATCGTGTTTGATAATTAAATGTATAATTACATTCTTACTATCATGATAATTGTACAGCAAATGAATATTTAAAACAAAACACGTATATCATCAATTTTAGAATAAATGTCCGCTGGTACTTCGTTGTGTCTAAAAATATGAAATTCGAGATACGTTTCAGTTTAAAAAAATGCACGTATGAATTTTCGTGCTGGTGCTTCGTTCGTTGAACAATTTCGGTGTTCCCTTTTAAAATGAAATTCGCGTTACATATGGCGTTTTCCCTTACCGCGTTCTCCTTCTATCGTTAATGATTCTTCGCTCGTTTTATACGTACATCAAACGCAGTTAAAACATATTTAAAATTCCCTTCGTTATTTGCGAGCGTTTTGCTGCTTGTTAACAAAACGCAGCGTGTCACAATTACAAATTTTTTTTTCCACTTCAAGTTCTTAATCAACGAAACCGGAAACCGTTACTCGGTTTCCTTCGCCGAGATTATGAACAGCCGCCGGTAAAATTATAACTTCGCCAATTTCGCAAATACCGAGCAAGTCCCTTGTCGATAACGCGATTAATCATCCCCTTTCGTGCGCTCGTTGCTTCACTGTGCCGTAATTATCACGACGCCGTTGTTTCTCCAATTAAAACGATCTATTATTATCATCGAATTATTTTGTAATATACTTGCTTCACGTTCTTGTGAAATCAATCCTTTGTGGCTCTTAAACTTTCTAATTATTATTATTACTTTCACGGTTATTAATATACGATTACGCCGTGTGTAATTATGGAGCTATTACTTCGTGTAATTACCTTCGATGTAATCAAAATTTATTTCTTCGAGTTACTTATTAATTTTTTTTATTAAAATTTGGTGGAATTTTTTTAAAATTTATTATGGAATTTTATTAAAATTTATTACGGAATTTTATTCAAATTTATTTCCTTTGAATGTACTTATTAATTAGTTTCTGCAATATTAATTATTAATTATTCTCTTTCAGTGCAATTATTAATTCATTTCTTTAAATACGATTGTTACTGAATTACTTCGAGTGCAATTATTAATTAGTTGCTTCAAGTGTAATTATTAATTATTTTCTCTAGGTTCAGCCATGAATTAATTTCTTGGAGTGCGATTATTAATTAATTACTTCAAGTGTAATTATTAATTATTTTCCCTGGGTTCGATCATGAATTAATTTCTTTAAGTGTGATTATTAATTAATTACTTCAAGTGTAATTATTAATTATTTTCCCTGGGTTCGATCATGAATTAATTTCATTGAGTGCAATTATTAATTAATTACTTCAAGTGTAATTATTAATTATTTTCTCTAAATTCAATCATGAATTAATTTCATTGAGTGCAATTATTAATTAGTTACTTCAAGTCTAATTATTAATTATTTTCTCTAGGTTCAATCATGAATTAATTTCTTTAAATGAAATTATTAATTAGTTTCTTCAACTGTAATTATTAATTAATTTCTTTCAGTATAATTAATTGAGGAGATTAATTATTTTTTTCGACTGTCACTGTTAATCAATTACTCAGAGTAATAAATAAACACTGTCGTTAGTCAAAGATGCCAAAGTTTCGAAGACACGAAGCTCACCGAAATTTGAGACATTTCAAAAATTCGATACCTCTCGGAAGTTTGAAGACGCTCGCGAGTTCATAGAATCTGATAACTTTGAAGATCGCAAACGATCCATACTGCTCCAATATTACAAATTACAGCCTACCCACCTAAACTTTCAAGTTATTTTGCACGGCTGTAGATATTTTAACAAACTTGAGACGTCATAAAATTTGAAGAATTAAAAATGTTCAAATTTCTAAACTCTCAGATGTTGAACTTAAAAATATCTAAATATCGAACTTCTTAATCCCCTCAACTATGTCTTTTAACCTAACCTACCTTGTCTAACTTGTCTGACTTGTTTAACTTGTCTAACTTCATGTCTATAACCTAACCTATTGAAAACATAACCTATTCATCAACACTAAATTTACGTAAGTTAAACTTCTAACCATGCGTAATATTAAAAAGTTGAAGCATCAATAAATCCAAAAAGCATCCCTTTCAACGTAACCTAACTTATCTAATTTATCTAACTTAATGTTGCCTAACTTCATGTCTATAACCTAACCTATTGAAAACATAACCTATTTGTCCACACTAAATTTACTTACTTTAAACTTCTAACCATGCATAATATTAAAAAGTTGAAGCATCAATAAATCTAAAAAGCATCCCTTTCATAACCCGATATCGAGGCCAAACAAAAATCCCCAGACACTTTCCCCAAAAAATGTCCGCGATATGAAATGAATGGTGCAATACGTTTAATGTTATCTTCGTTTTAGTGCATGCCCGTCGAACCTAACCTATCTGAATAATAGAGGTCGCGTTTCTGTAGGTTTGTTCGCCATTATGAATAATGTCGTGTTCGATTTGTTCGGCAAAGGCTTTGAATAGAATTTCCAAGGATTTTCTTTGCCGGCAAGGACACACGTAAAAGTGAACTCCTTACGTCTCTCTCTACCGGCGTTTCTTTCCTTTATCGCTAAGTCGAAGCGCCCGAAGGAAGTTTCCCGTGAATTATGAAGCCAGCGCCTTTATGTCAAAGAGTACGCTTCACCATACTTGACAAGCTTACGTGTGCACAGCACGGCTGGAAGTTGGGCAAGTGGTGGCACAAAGCACCATGTAAATTTTCCACGTCGTTCACTTCCATTTTGCTCGGCAAAGTTGTAAATGGACGTCCTGGGAACACTGTCTCGCGATAACCTGCGTCTGAATCCTCCATGTGACACTGTACCGTGATAAGTCAATGTTTGCCCCGTGGATTTCTCTTCTAAGATAACGTCTTGCGGTACCATACGATGCTTATTAATAGACGGAATAAATTAACATGCTTTTTAACGGCGCCCCGAAATGCTTAGACGCGAAGGTACACCGTCGGAATTAATTGTCACGCGGTATATTGCCGTTACAGCGCGCTGGCGAGACGGTTGCTTTCTCTAGGGAAAGTTACGATGTAGGAAAATGAGCACTCTGGAGGTTACTACCGACGCAGGATCGTGAACGTTTGTTGGGGGAATGAATTTTCAAAGTGAACTTTGAGGGTCTGTTAGGGTTTTGGAAGTTTATGAAGTTTAGAACTTCAGAATTTCGAAATTCTTATTTTTAATTTAAGTTTGTGTGTATAATTTGTACCTGTAACTTACATGTGTAATTTGCCATGATTTAAATTTTATGTAATTTGTGCTTTTAATTTATATTTATATGTATAATTTTTAATTATAGGGTTATGCATTGATATTAATATTTCTGAACCCATGTATCCTTACCAGGTCTCAATATCCCTAGATTTCAGTATCTCTAGTTTCCAAATATTCCTAAATTCAAATATCCCTAGATTCCAATATATCTAGGGTTCAATATCCCTAGGATCCAATACCCTTGGGTTCCAAATGTCCCTAGGATCCAATATCCCTGGGTTCCAAATATCCTTAGGTTGTAATACCCCTAGGATCCAATATCCTTAAATTCCAATATGCCTAGGATCCAATATCTTTGCGTTCCAAATATCTCTAGGGTCCAATATCCCTGGGTTCCAAATATCCCTAGGGTCCAATACCCCTAGGATCCAGTACCCCTAGGATACAATATCCCTAGATTCCAATTTCCAAAATCCCCAAAACACTAGATTCCAAAATCTCAAAATTTCCAAATTCCTAACTCGCCAAATCCTCAGATCCCCAAATCCGCAATTCCCCAAATCCCCAAATCCCCAAATCCCTATTTCCCAAAATTCTAAAGCTCTAAATCCCAAAATATCCCAACGCCCTCAACTCTCAAAATTCCACTAACACTCCCAACTACCAAATTTCCAAAATTCACCAGAAAATCGCAATAAAATATAAGTCTCCATCTAACCTAATCTTGCTAGTCAAATAATTGTGTCCTCTTAAATCAGTCATTACGAATATCTGGTAACCAATAAAGTTTCTCATCAGACTTCCGACGCGATTCGAATCTCTATACACCGTTCGCTGAATTATACGCGCTCGAGATCGTTGAAACCGAAGAACATCCGTTCGAGAGTATCGGATAGAAGATGGCGGTGCTCGTTTTACGGCATTCCTGATAGCAAACGCGTGATTTACAGCCGTCCTCGAACGACGTGTTCCCCCGCGAAAGAACGACGCGAATCTCGCGACGCGGATTACGAATTACTACCGGCTGTCTATGACCGTATAAAAGCAGATTCTATTTTCGTTTCTCCACGTTCTTTTTTCAGGTACGTTGAGCCCAAAAGGTACTCCTCTAATGGCCGAGATATGACGGTCGTTCTGAGACGAGCCTCGAACAGCCCGAACGACGAGGAATATATGGACGTCTCTTATTACTTCCACGACGGTGAGTTTACTGTCTTTAACATCTTTTCTACGACTTGTCGTATCGTATATAAAAATATCATGAACTCTTTATCTCGTTGCGACGGGGCTTTTAAGGAGCCCTGAAATTGAGGCTGAATCGCGGTTCCAAAGAACGAGAGTTCTTGAATGAAACTATTTTTCATGGTTTTCGAACCTTTGGTTTATGGAAAATTAATAGAAAGTGAAATTTAAGGTATTAATAGTCGTTGTTTGCAGTAATGTAGTTTGCAGCTTCTTATTTCTATCGAGTATTCTATAAAGAAGTTCAATTACCAATTGTCATTTTAAATTTGACTGTTTTCCCGCCTTTACGGGACTGCCAAAATGGCGGATGGGTAAAATGGCGGAATACCAAACTTTTATGAATATAATGAATTATAGGTACTTGTTTCTTTAGAATGTTGTTATAGAATTATTTTTTTATACATTAAAAACGTCATCTTCACAAATGCTCTCCAAACAAAAAAATAGCGGGAAGAATAACTGTAATTTGAACGTTCATTAATGAACGTTCTATTGATGAGTAAAATGGCGGAGTACCAAACTTATTTTTTATAAATAAAATGAATTACAGCTACTTGTTTTGTTAGTATGCTATTATAGAATTTTTTTTATACATTAAAAACGTCATCTTCA